ACCCACGCTGGAGCAGTCTGTGCCTGAAGGACTGCAGCCCGCGGAAGGGACCCATGCTGGAGCAGTTTGCGAAGAACTGCAGCCCGTGGGAAGGACTCACGTTGAAGAAGTTCATGGATGACTGTCTCTCATGGGAGGGACCCCACACCAGAGCAGGGGAAGAGTGAGGAGTCCTCCCCCTGAGGAGGAAGGAGCGGCAGATACAAGGTGGGATGAACTGACCCCAACCCCCATTCCCCATCCCCCTGTGCCACTGGGGGGAGGAGGTAGAGAATTTGGGAGTAAAGTTAAAGCTGGGAAGAAGGGATGGGTGGGGGGAAGGGGTTTTAATATTTGGGTTTATTTCTCATTATCCTACTCTGATTTGACTGGTAATAAATTAAATTAATATTTTTCCCCAAGTCGACTCTGATTTGCCCATGACAGTAATTGGTGAGTGATCTCCCCCTGTCCTTATCTTGACCCACAAGGTTTTCATTATATTTTCTCTCCCCTGTCCAGCTGAGGAGGGGAGTGACGGAGTGGCTTTGGTGGGCACCTGGTGTCCAGCCAGGGTCAATCCACCACACCTACTAAACCCAAGAATTATTATGCAGCAGGACCCCCACCTTTCCAGTAATTACACTCTGCCTCCTAACTCCTTCAACACCAATTTCTAATTTTATTTGGTTTATGTCTGGAACTGCAGTCATATGCAGCGAGGGGGCTCTCTGTCTTATTATTACACAGACCAAATTGTTTTAAAAATGTAATTAAACATTTACCTTGAAGACAATGTTTTGTCTTCTTTAAGAAGAATGATATCTTAATTTAACCTCATTTAGAAAACCTTTAATTTCTAAGCATTTACCTTCAAGACAATGTTATGCTAAACACAAAGCAAAACAAAAAGATTTCTTAATTTAACCTAATTAAAAGATAAGCCTTCAACTTTTCTATCACTGCTGTATAAAATGAAAAGCTAGGCATAGCCTTTTGGTTTGTTCAGAACTGTCTATTTTATTATCCCTCTGGTTTGTTCTCAGCTGTCGATTTTATTATCCTCCTTGATGCCCCCAAATCCTCTTAGAAACCAGAGCTATCTAACCTTTTCAGTCCTGGAGCCATCTATAAGAAGATCAAGGACCACCACCGCAATAGCAGAGGTTTTTGGTTTGGTGGTTTTGGTTGGTTGGTTTTTGGTTATGTTTTGTTGTTTGTTTTTTTTTATAAGGCTGAGACAAAATGCAGCCTGCTACTTGAGGTCTCCCCAGGGAAGAGGAGACCTGAGGAGGGTGAAGGGTTATTTCCATTCAGTCTGAGGCTGAGACAGGGTCTTAGGTGTTGGAAGAAGGGATGATGGCAGCCCACAGAGTGATGGTCTCTTGCTGGTGTTGGCTCTGGGGGACCCTGCTAAATGCACAAGGCAGGGCAGCAGTAAAAAAAATCCCTCCCAGCTGCATCGATGTTCAAAATAATGGAACTGGCAGCTGGCTTTCAGGTTTCTCCCCCTTCTCCTGAGCTGCCCCCACAAAGGCGTGCAAAGAAGCAAAACCAAATCATCCTTTGCAAGCAGCTCCCCTGGGCTCCGAGGAGCCTGTGGAGCATCTGCTGTGCTCAGCGAGGCTTCTGTGTGACCTGCCAAAATGGAGCAGCCAAACCTATTCCCCTCTCCCTCATGGTGCAGCTACAGGGCAGGGAAGGGAGAGCAGCTGTGCAGAGCCCTCCTTGAGCAGCTGCTCCGGAGGAAACCGTACGCAGTTGCTGAGAGATGGTGCCTGCATCTTCCTCTTGCTCAGGCTGAACGGGTCCCACCTGCAAACCACAGGGGATGGTTCAAAGCACACATTTCAAAACCAGACAATCAAGATGCAAATTTGCCTCTGAGGGTGGCTGTGTTCAAGGTCCACCTGGCAGCCACCAGACAGCTAAAAAGCACAAGGCTTACTTTTTAGTTTTGGCTAGATGAAAACCTGCAGCGGTTGTGGAGGTGTAAGGAAGGGTAAGGCAGGATGATCACTGGCCTTGGACATAGCTGGGTCGACAGCAGCTCCTAAGTCCTGCTCCTGGAGCTGCTCTGCTGCCTGCTTTATACCACTTAAAGCACTTTTCATAGGAAATTTACAACGTAACTGATTCTCAGCTGAACAATTCAAAATGTGGGGCCCTGCAATGTGCTGCCGCTAGACCCAGCAATCAGATCAGGTATTTCTTTCCTGTGGTGTTAGTTATTTATGAAGAAGGAGCACACTGAGTGCAGGAAGACGCAAACAGCAGATGATTTCTTTCCTTGCAGCTCCAGCTCCTTTCCAGCCTACAAAATGTTCTCTTTTAGCTCTTCCAAGTTTAGTCACATCAATACTTCGGTGGCTGCAGTTTACCCTTTCCTGTAAGCCTCCTCCTGCTGCAGCTCCTTTATCTCATGTTCACAGCACCCAAAAACCACCCCTGGTGACCTCCTCTACACATCCAGCTGTTTCGGATGCCTGCGGTTTTGGGTGGTACCCTTTTTTTTTCCTCTTTTGTTGCTAATTCTACAGAAGATGTTGGGGTTTTTTTGTAACAACTATGAGCAGAAACACTTTGGTTCACCTTCTTCACCTCTGGTACAGCATTACCTCACGGGGTGACTGCCAGATTTCGTTAACGCTTGTATGGTAAATTTAAGGTTAAAGTGTGTGATGAGGATTTAAGCATTTGGGATTCAGATGCGCTTCAATGGCAGTTGACTGTGGGCTCACAAAAAAACAGAAAGGACAGTTTTGTGTGCAGAAAGGTGGTTCCCAAACCATCTCTGGCCCCTCTCTGAGGCCCCTGCTCCCCTCCTCATGCCAGGCGGTGCCTGCCAGGCCCTTAGGACCACGTCCCCCTCAAGGTACAAAGTCCCTCCTGCGGGCCTTGACCCTCTGGCACACACCAGACCTCGGGCAGCAGGCTGTGGGGGCTGCGCGGGTAAATCCGCCCCTCCAGAGCCCTCACAACGGGTGAGGCGAGGGAAAGGCGACACCATCCCCTCCCCGCACCTGCCGAGCCCTCACAGCTCCATGAGCCCGCCCTGCGCCCTCAGCCCCTATTTAAAGTAGCTGGATCCCCCTCCGCCAATCGCAGCGGGGATGGGGCATTGCTGGCAGCCAATGGAAGGCTGTCTGGAGGAAAGGGGCGGGGCGAGACGCTCCCCCAGCTCGAGCCGGGCAACTGTGGTAAACAAGTGGGCGGGTCTCCCGGCTTTCCTGGCGTTTGGAAGAGCCAACGGGCGAGGCCAGGAGAGGCCAGCCAGCCAATAGCGAGCGAGGGCGGAGAGCGGCCCTGGGGGTGAGCGTCACGGCGGGCAGGACTTGGTCTGCTGATTGGCTGGCGACGCCCCCGCCTCCTCCCCCGAGCGACCGTTGGCAGGAGGAGGGGCGGGGCGAGGGGCGGGGCGAGGGGCGGGGC